TGGAACCTCCTGGGGCCTCCTGGGGCTTTCTGGACCTTCTGGTACCCCAGACCCCGCCTCGGAGCCTCCTGGAGTTCTCCTGGGCCTGCTGAGGCCGCCTGGGGCCTCCTGGGGCCTCCTGGGGCTTCAGAACTACATGCACACACAGAGACACAAATCACGCCCAACACATCACACGCTAGACAAACATAACATACACACACACACACCGACAACACACACAAAAAACACACACACACACAAACACACACACACACACACACACAACACTCACAATCCTGGGGCCTCCTGGAGCCTCTTCTGGTATCCAAGTCGGGCCTCCTGAGGCTTCCTGGGGGGCCCTGGTACACACATCGCAAGGTGTGGCAACCCCACTTGCGCTCGAGTGCGACTTCGCTGTTGCATATCACTCCTGCTTCAAACGCCCCTTCAGCTTGTTGTATGAGCCTGGGCACACACGTGCCACTTGTATATATATATATATAGCGGTATACATATATATATATATATATATATATATATATATATATATATACTATGTATGTATTATATACGCGCGCCTGTAAGGATTGGCCTGTGGAGGGGCCAACTTGTATGCGTGTGTGTCCACTGCGCCTCGGTGCAGAAACCGGCCGCGCTCAACGATGTTCGTGCCCCCCCCCCTCCTTCCCAATCCTGATGGGCAGCGATGGGGGGGGGCCAGCTCAGGGGAAGAAACCTCGACCTGGAATCGGCGGAACATCGTCGATAGATCAGTGATGGGCCCCGACAGCGAATCCGCATGGTCCAGGGCGCAGCTGGCTAGCAGTCCCCACATCGGCGATCGATGGGCGATGGGAGGTCCGTGCGCCCCTCCTAGGCCGATCCCCCCCCCATCGCTGCCCCTGAAGTCCCAACCCCTCTTCGCCCGACCCGGCGCCTCTCGGCCGCCCTGAGGCTGCTCTCCTTCGACACCCTGTCACTCTCGACCTGCGCCAGCTTCCCCTCCAGGAACGCCTTCGCGTCCGCGGCCTCCCTCGCGCGCTTCGTCTCCGCCGCTGCCCTCTGCCGCTCCTGCTCGAGCTCCGCCTCCGCGCGCGTGGCGCGGTCGAGCGTCGAGTCACCCTGCACCCGCAGCGTCTCGAGCTCCACCTGAGCGACGGAAAGAAGCGGGCTCCGCGCGAGAAGGGACAGCGACCTGACGCCGCGGCTTGCGCGTGCCGCCAGCGTGGCACACCGCGTGGGCAAGAGTAGGGAGTCGGAGAGCGGATCCTGGTGTACTTACGGGACCCTGGTGTATTCATTTGCTGCTGTTTCCCCAGCAAAACGGGGACAAAGTACAGTATGCACCACACCACCCCGACGTCGTCCCCGACCCTCAAAGAAGCCCTCGGCTTGAACAACCGCCCGCCACTCGCAGTGCAGATGCTCCGGGCTCCGCAAGAGGGCGCCTCCGCGCGCCCTCGCGCGGGAAGCTTCCGGTCGGGAGCTTTTTCGGTGGGCGCGTCGCGGCAGCGGCCCTCGGCGACACGCTCTGCCCGGCAGGCGGATGGCGTGTCGCCCCGCTCCGCGGGGCGGGAGGCCGGGAGAGGCTGGGAGGGGCTCGGGGCGTGGACGCTCGGGGCCCGGGAGGCGGTGAGCGTTTCGCGCCGAGGCGCGGTGGGGCCAGGAGCGGCGGCGCGGCACGCGGAGCCGCGCAACGCCTGGCGGCGAGGGCGCGCAAGTGCCGGCACAGCGGAGCCCCTCTTGATTCTCACATTGGGCCTGTCCCTCTACGGGGGCGATGTTTCTGCGATTTGGTGGGTGCAGTCATCGGCCTGACCTAAGGAACGATGCATGAGGAAACAAGCCCCGTTGTTCCAAGGAATGACGCATAGGGAACGATGAACAAATAATGCATAACGCATAGGGAACGATCAATAACGCATGCAAGCTTAAGGAACGACCGAACCCCTTTTGAAAAGTAAGCGTTCCTTATTCAAGCCGCTCACTGTATTGTTGAGCATGTTTGGGCCATGCTTTAACTTTCGTCCCAAAGCCCCCTGTTGGAGGACACGCCCGCCCTAACCTTTGTTGCGTCGCCCGCCTGCTTCTGCACCAGCTCGTTGCGCAGGCCCTCCCCCGACGCGAGCGCGCCCGCCATCTGCTGCTGGGCCTCCAGGAGCTTGGCGCCCCGCTCCTAGGAGGCAGGGGGGAGCATGACGCCGACGGCCACACGCACACACACACACACACATAAAAAAACACACACACAAACACACGCACACACACACACACACACGCACGCACGCACGCACGCGCACGCACACGCACACGCACACGCACACGCACACGCACACGCACACGCACACGCACACGCACACGCACACGCACACGCACACGCACACTCTCACGCACACTCTCTCACACACACGCAGACAGACAGACAGACAGACAGACAGACAGACAGACAGACAGACACACACACACGCACACGCACACACGCGCACACACGCGCACACAAACACACACACACACACGAACGCACGCACGCACGCACGCACGCACGCACGCACACACATACACTGTTTTCGTCAGCGGGGAGGCGGCGAAATCCGCTCCAGCGTGAATCTAGATATGGGGCACCAACCAGCGAGTTGGCCAGCGAGACCAGAGGGAATGGGGGACGGCCGAGAGGAAGGAGGGACGCTCAGTCGCCGACGACGAGCAGCTGGGCGGGCAGCAGCAGCTTGGCGCGCAGAGCCGGCCCGAACATCGATGGCACAGCCCTGGAGTAGGCCGCCCGAGCGCACGCACGCACGCACGCACGCACGCACGCACACACACACACAGATACACACACACACACACACGCACACACACACACACACGCACACGCACACGTACACACACGCGCACACACACACATGTACACACATGCACACGCACACACGCGCACACACACACGCGAACACACACACACACGTGCACACACACGCGCACACACACACGTGCACACACACATCCACACAGACACACACATCCACAAGCACACACACACACACGCACACGCACACGCACACACACATCCACACACACCCACACATCCACACACATCCACAAACACACATCCGCACACACATCCACACACGAACGCACACACACACACGCACACACATCCACACACACACGCGCGCACATATCCACACACAAACACACACACACACATCCACACACACACACACACACACACGCACACACACACACACATCCACCCACACACACATCCACACACAACACACACACACAAACACACATCAACACACACACACACACATCCACACACACACATCCACACACACACGCACACACACACACATCCAACCACACACACATCCACACACATACACACACATCCACACACACACACATCCACACACACACACACACGCGCACACACATCCACACACACACAAATCGACACACACGCACATCCACACACACACACACATCCACACACAAAAAACGCACCCACACCCACACCCACACCCACACACACACACCAGCGCCAGAGCCGGCCCAAACATCGATGGCGCAGCCCTGGAGTGGGCCGCCCGAGCGCGGCCGGCGCGGCGGCGATGCCTCTGGCGACGTCGTGGCTGGACGGGTCGTGCTCCACATCGCACGGTGTGCATCGCTGCTGGGGCGTGCGTTGAAAACAGCCGGATGTCACCCGTGGATGGAACGGTGAAGTGCGCGCGATGGCTGTGCGGCGCTCTTGTCCACACGTGAAAAATTCGAGTATGAAGCGGGCGTGGGATGGCTGTGGAGCGGCTGATTTACACAAGGCATAGTGCGCCCGCCCCCCTGGCCCCCCCCCCACCACCATTGGGCAAAGCTGAACTCGCGGCCCATGGGCCGAGTCGCTTCCGACGAGTATTGCATTTCCGAGGGGGAGGGGGGGGGCCAAGGGAACAAGTGACTGCAGTAGGGTCGCGCGTGCGGCTGTGAACGGTTGATGCAAGGCGATAGCTCGTGTTCGAGAGTGCGCACGATCGTTGTGGAGCGAGTGATGCAAAGTGCGAATCGGATTCCGAATCTTGTGAGGCGTTTTGCCCGCTGCGACCGTTTTCTGCGCACGCGACTGTGGTGCGTCGGCGATGCGGCGCGGTCCTCCACGCACAGTCGGCGCCGGCTCCGGGCGGGGCAGGCCTGCGATCTCCGGGAGGGGCAGTCCGCCGGCGACGAGCCCGAGAACGGGGCGCCGCGACGGAGGCCGATGGTGCACGAGGAACTCGACTGCCTCGACACGCAGCGCGCAACACGCAGCGTGACGACACGAAGCTCTCAACGCATAGGCTCAACGCGCAGGTCTGGCGGGAGACAGTCGACAAAGCGTGGACCAGCACGTGCCGATGCCACACGCAGCGTGTCAACACGGACGCTGGTGTCTGCCATTGCCTGGCTCACTCGAGCGCGCGTGCGGACTGCCTCTGCCGTGCTGCGACCAAAAATTAGCACAGACGCTCTGAAAGCGGCACGCGTCGCATTTCAACACGAGCGTATCAGTGCGACGACGATGAGGAAGGTCCTGCGGGCAAGACCCATGTCCATACCACCTGCGTCTTGGACTTCCTGGGAAGAGGCGCTGAGCGGCCGCGGCGCAGCGGAAATTGACAATAATATCTGGCCTCTGGGGGCCAGATGCTCATCCATGAAAAGTGTGCCTCGGGTGTCTGGGGAGGGCAACTCGAAAATCCACGATGCAGTTGATATGGATGCACATCTTGCCCGGGAATTCTGAAGGCCTCGTGCGGCAACTTGAGACCCAATTTACGTCGGATCCACGTCGGATTTACGTCGGCTTTACGTCGGAACATCGTCGCGCGAACGTGGTCTTGAATCTGACGGGGCGGGATTGTGGACCAGATGCTGCAACTATTGCGCGCCGCGCGAGGCCTCCAGGACTTTCCTCCTAGGAGATGGATCCTTGGCCTTTGGCCCTTCCCTGTCCTGCTCCGCCTTGAGCTCGTCCCGCAAGCCTTGTGGGAGGGCGCCGACTCTAGGGAGCCCGCAAAGGACGTACGCGCCCAACCATGTACATGAACACGGCCCCCCAGCCCGCGAGACCAGCCGCGTGATACGACCGCTCGCGCACTGAACACTCTCGAAACCTACGTGGATTCATGTACGTGTACGTCCTCCTTCAGAACAAAAAAAAACGCCATAAACATAACCTGTTGACGCTCCGCACGGATTTCTTGGATCTGTGCTGGAACCCCCTCCCTGGCGCGCGGAACGCGCCAGGGGCGGCGCCGGAGGCGCCGCCGGGGAGGCCCAGCGCAGATCCAAGAAATCCGCGCGAAACGCTTGAAAACATGTTTTTATGGCGTTTTTCCTTCTTCGACATCTGCGTCCTTTTTTCGCTCCTTAGACTCTGTGCCCACACCAATACATCCGCCAGCCGGGCCTCCGGAGTTCCGAAACGGTGCGGTGACAGACCGTGCGGTGACATCGAGATCCCCAAGGCCTCACCGCACGGTCCGTCCACGCACGGACTTGGGACCCCGGAGGCCCCCGTCGCCCGAGACGTCCTCGGAGAACGACCCGGAGCCCAAAACCATGCGGTGACCCCCGACTCACCACACGGTGTGGTCACCACTGAAGGGGCCCTGGGACACACAAATAAATACACACAAATAAAAAGGTTCCCCATATTGTCCAATATTTTCTGGGTTTTTGTCTCCCCGCCCACTTCCCATATCTTCCCATCTTTTGTTGGGGATCGACGATGAATTGTGTCTGTGTGTTTTTTCCTCTCCTGAACCACCCCGTTTGGGGGCCCCCGAACCAATGTCGGGAGCGGCCAAGAGGGGGGTGTCCAAGAGGGGGGGTTGCAAATCATGACCGGCGGCATGTGCGCGGCCCAGCGGGGGGGGCAGGGACGTAATGAAATAAGAAGAGGCGCCATGAAATCTGGGGAAATATCATGACCCCCGCCATGATATTCACCCCCCCCTAGTCATCACCCCCCTCTTTTCCGCCCCCGACAATGCACCCGCTGGCCGGGTCCGAAGGAACCGGGGGGCGACGTCTCGCCCGGCGTGTTCGCGCCGCGAAAAAACAGCCTCGACGGGCGTCTGCCTCTGGCCGCGCTGGGCCTCTTCCGGGGGCCCCTCACGCCAGGCCCCAGGACCGTGCCAACAGCTGTTGGGATTTTTTGGAGCACCTTGGCTCCCGCTGCATGCTTAAAGCACACTGTAAGTGTCTGAGAGTAAGGTTACTCCTTCCGCTTTCGGATGGAGTCACTTACAGATCTTGGTCCAAGCGTCAGAGTTGTATGCTGAAACTTTCTGACCTGGACAAGTTTTGTTGAGAGCTGCTAAACGGGCACCACTAGTGTATCTCTGGCACACAGTACAAACGACGACAAACGACCCGTTCGAACAATCCAGGAGGATACACTTGTGGCTTAAATCTCTAAGCCGCCGAACGTCAACTCTCAAAGATTCAGAACAGTGGCCAGGGGCTGGAGCTTTGTCAGCGGCATTACGTGACGTCCTGAGGCACCCTTGGCAACTCCAAAAACGCTGATCCCCTCCTGGCGGACCCAGCCACTCCCACCTATGGGGCGTAACAGGAGTGCGAGAGGAAAGAGCAGGCGCAGACCACACGGCACGGGAGAGGTCCGTGCGCGGCCAGAGAGGCAGCAGCGCGGCGCACAGCTTGGCCGCCATGAGAGCCGAATTAACAAGGGCAGTGCATTCGTTGGCTACCTCTTCCGACGGCGCCTGGTGGGAGTCAGCCCCCAACTTGGCAGCCCTGTCGGCGAAGTCATTTCCGATCCTCCGAAACCGTTCATCATCGTCGATCTCGGGATCATCGATTGAGAGGTGAACGGGCACTTTCACACATCCAAGCGTCAATTTTCCCCCCAGAGAACGACCCTGCGTCAACAGCCCCGAATATGGACGCTTGGGGGAAAGTTGCGCGTGTCGGGCCATGCCGCGCATCGAAACAACATTTTGGCAATCGGAATAAAGAATTGCTGGCGCGGACAGGAGCGCGCAAGCCATAGCACATGCCGAGAATTCTCCAGCCTGTGGCGTCTGAGGGCAGCTATCCCAGACAGGCCCCCAACACCACGCCAGGAGGTTCGACCGAGGGCCTACCATAGCCAAGCCCCATCCTGCGCGATTCGAACTGCGAACTACCTGGCGAGAGCACGAGCCGTCTAAAAATACGTGGCCCCACATCTCTCGTCGGCCATCGCGGGGCAGCTCCATGCCTTCCGCAGCGAAGCCGTCGGGAAAGAACTGAAACTGGATACCATCCTCCTCCTCAGATTTACTGTCGGACTTAGGGGGCGGGAGCACACGCTAGGGGTGGCCAAACAACCCAGAGGTAAGATGGAAACGCTCTTTCTCAGGAACCGCCGCAAACTTCCTCAAGACCTGCTCGAGATCTCTGTCAGGAATCACCGCCCTCCTCTCCTCCTCCACTGCAGTACAAGCATACAGCCGATGAAAGATCGTGTCTCCAGGCTGAAGACACAGCGGGCAACGATCCTTGACGTCGTAACCTGCTGCTCGAGCGCGGGCGTAGGGCCAGATTCCTTGACAGGCACAACAACGGATCGTTCCTTTTTGGCGAGCCGTAAACTTCTTCGAACGCAGGGCTTTTGTGACGACGTCAAAACATAAAGACTCGACCCCATCAGGGCCGTACTTGCGGGCCGCTTCCCTCTCCAACGATCGCCAAACCCCTTCTTTGAGAAAAACCTGAAGGAGGGAGGGAGGAGTGAGAGTGAGGGAGTGCTCGACCCCAAGGTCGCTGATCATGAAAAAAAGGCGAGGGCATACTCCATCCCAGGCGAGCCAAGGAAAGTTTCATGGCCCCGATAGGCCCGCTCACGGTACGCCAGGTCCAAGAACGCCCGAACACATCGTGCCACATGTTTCGGAGCTCCGCCCAGGAAACAACAACAATCCGTGACCCTCGTGGCGCGAGCCCAGACTTCCTTGGCCCACCGAAGGGCTGGCGCCACCGCACCCCACCACGCGGGATCGCCTTCAATCCTACTGAGAATGCTTAAACTTCGGCCGCCACAGGCAGGCTTCATCGTGGAGGCACACAGACATCTAACTTTGGTTAACTCTCCATCACTGACTCCGTGAACCTCCGCCCATAATTCAAACCCGCCAGAGGTCCAGCCGAGCACAGCTTGGTGGCCCTCGGTCCTAGAACTCCTCTTTGACGAGCCAGCCTGCCTGCGCGCCTAGAGGCTCTCGCAAAGCGCGCCTTCGCTCTGCTGTTGCGCCCTCGGACGCGCCTGGCACAGCCTGCAGTGTCATCAATCCCCAAGTTGACGAACGACTCAGTGAAATCTCCTCCAAGCCCCCCCAGACGTTTCTGGACATGCCGGGCGATTTCCTTGGGCGACGCGACCAGCCCGACTTTGTCAGGGGAGACTTGCGCAAAAAGGACATTGTCGATGATCTCCTCGAGGGACTTGGCCGCTCTCGGGAGTTCTTTCATGATGTGTCGAGCAGTCCCGATCGCATTAATCCCAAGGTCGTCAATGTAAGCATCAAACGTGATTCCCTTGGGGACCTCCAGCTGGTCGAAACCACGCAGGGCAAATATTCTGATCATAGTGGTGGCGAAACTACACCCCGCTATGATTCCAACTCTCGCGTAGGTAGGAGGCGCCAGCACTCCAGCTAGCACCAGGAAGCGGGCATAACGGCATCCCGCCATGCACACATCGGTGAGCGCATCAGGGAAACCATGTTGCCTGCATCGAAGTGCCAGGAGTTCGAAAGGGATGCGCTCGTAATACTTGATAAAGTCCCAGAGGAGAGTACAGGCCTGCTGCCCGCAGGCTCGGGGGGGCTCCGACCGGGCGGCCTGCCGCCAAACAACATCGCTTGCAGACTTGAATTTTCCCGCCGCCCAGTACTCTCTCTGGTGTTTCCCTCCCCACTCCACCGCGTAGTCTCTCCTGCATTTTCCCCGTAATCTGTGCAGACTGGGGAAAACCCCGATGGGGCGGAAACCAGTGGAGGGCTTCGGCAGCATTGCGGTAATCACAGCCCCCAGCTGAAGGGGAAGGGTGCCCGTGAGTTCCATAAGCGTGAAAAAAACGCGAGAGGGCCCATAAAGCCCCGTCGGACATCACCGAAAAGTGTCATGTGAAACCCATCCAGGCCTGTGGCAGACCTGCGGGCAAAAGTGCGAGAAACCATACGAATGGTGTCCACCGAGATACAAGGGAGGGGGGCATTCACTTTCCCTGGCCTTTTCTGAGGTAGCGGCAGCCCTTCCCACAAGGGGCGAAAACGATCAGCTTCGGCGGCAAGGAGCGCCTGCGGGCCCGACACCACACAGCATCCTGCACTGAGCGCAGTGGGGGCGACCATCCTTGAGGGTCTTTCGTGTAGCCGTGCGCTCTGCGGCCTCCCTGATCGACGTTCTCAGTGAGCCAGTCAGCCCAATCTCGTCTGGCCTTGGCCGCGTAGAAGGCGCTACACTGAGAGACAAAATCGGTAACCTGAATCGAGACCTCTTCGACTTGGGCTAACAAAACCTCCTGAGCCCCCAGGAAGCTAGGATCAGAGCCCGACCCCTCCAAAGGGTCTTCCAAAACCTTGAGGTCCGAAATCACCGAGGAAACGCTTTTCAAAACAACTTCCATCCCAGGGAACAGGTTGTCGGGCTTACACAAACTGGGGGGAGGAGACGACAACAAGCGCCCCACGTCCCGAGCCTGATGCCAATCCCCCCGCTGCACACAGGAGAGAAGACGTTTGAACTTCGAAGCGAGCCAGCGACTGGCGTGGAGCTGCGGGCACCGAACGCAACCGTGATCTTTGCTGAGGATCGGCCTCCAATGAGTCTTGGGCCCCTTGCCCCTAGACCCCAAAACTGGAAGTTGAACCCCGGAAGTCCTTGAGAGTTCCCGTTCAGCAAGGCCCGCCCAAGATGCGTAAGCTTCACGAAATAGGCGAGAAGTTAAGACCCCATCGTCCCCACGCTTCGC